GAGAGATTTGGGATCATGGCAGGACTGGAGAAGGTATTCTTAATTGGCAATTTGAGAAGTGGGACACGATTGATAGGCGGTGAATTTAAGAGAGATAGCCTACTTATTCAGTCGCTTCGTATGTTATGGAAAAATGTAATCAAAACAGACTACACAACAGCAACAACACCAAAACAACAATAACAGCAGCAACAATAACAAGAACAACAACAACAACAACAACAACAACAACAGCAGTGACCTCACATGGACACAAGGTAGCAGTATCACAGCTGTGGTTTATACCTCAGATGTGCTTATCTACAGAAAACAAAAGGCCAGTCACGGTCTCACGCGCTTCAAGAGGTGAACTAATTCCAGCTGTTTCTCGCTCAAGCGCAAGGGGCGGGGAAAACAGTATAATGTGAAACGAAACAAATAAAACACCCCCCCCCCCCCCACAAAAACACCCCCCCCCCTCTCTCTCTCTCTCTCTCTCTCTCTCTCTCTCTCTCTCTCTCTCTCTCTCCCTTTCTTAGCTCCAAAAACGACAACGGTAACAACAGTAGCAATAAAATAAAAAAACAATAACAGCAACAGTAAAAACAACAACAACAACAACTACTACTACTACTACTACTACTACTACTACTACTACTACTACTACTACTACTACTACTACAACTACAACAACAACAACAACAGCATCAGCAAAACAGCTGCCACGTCAGCTAGAAAACTCGTTTGTGTTGAGATAACTTTACGGGTTTTGAAAAGGCCCACCTTGCAGAGACGACCGTTGTTTTGTTTTGGGTTTTGGGCGTATTTTTTTTTTTTGCTTGTTTTTTTTTTTCTTTTCTTGGTCACCCGTGCATACTCATGTATCCAGTGGCCGTACTGTCAGAGGATTCAAGCCTTTTCTCAACAACGGCGAGTTTCTGCTCATGAAATGCATTTAGAATATAGTGTAGATTATCCTTATTTCTTCTTTTTCTCTTTTTTCTTGCTTTCGTTTAATCGAAATGTTCAAAGAGTCATGGTTTCAACGAACAGTGTTTCGTTTTTGACTGTACTTTTATCTGGATTTTTTTTAAACTGGTAAAAAAATTTCCTGTACATCTTTCAGTTTTAACTTTAACCACTGCCTATTTTCTTTTACTTGTATACAAAGAGAACTATCAGTCTATTGTTTCTATGCCACGACACTGCATATCGTTGTTTCTTTTTCCGTTTCGTTTCCTTGTTCTTTCTTACATTATCTTTTTTGCTCTTTCTTTCTTTTGTTTCTTATGATGATGGTGATGATGATGGTAATTGTTGACTTTGGTGTTATGTTCACGTTTTGTAGATACATTTTGTTCTTAGAAAAGAATGTTTTTGTTTTCTAAAATTCATGTTACATGAAAAGTGTGACGAGGGGTAGTTGGTCATTACACCAGTGCCATGATTCCCCCCTCACCAGAAACTCATGACAGAAAGACAGACAGCTACCTGTTGTTTGTCAAAACGCCTGTTGCCAATTGTGATTATCATATCTTTATTTTATGATATA